CTAACTTCTCTTTGTGGTTGGAGATTTTGGAACCTCAGTCTCTCCTCAGGTGACTTGTTGACCTAAGAAGTGCAGCTTCTGGGCCATGTATTGATTCTTACAAACTATGAGCTTCTGTCACTCAGCTTTGCAGCCTCTCTCTCCAGGGTCTTCAACAAATTCAGGTATGAGAGACCTGTTTGAACTGCACATCTTGTTCTAGTTAGGACCAAGAGTGGTCATCCTGAATAAAGAACACCTTACTTTTTTTCCAAGTCGGTGCTGTCCGTAATTACTTGATCTTCAGCCTACCAGGGGGCTCAGGCTTATAACCTTTCTTCCTGTGATACCTGAGACTATTTCTAAAGAAGTTGGCTGGGTCTTAGATTGGTGAAAGGTCCCAAGGTAATGCTGTTACTGGTGCATATTGAGTTTTATATAAATACCTTAGAAATATGGTTTAATCTAGTAAGCTTTGGTTACAAAATCAGATTTTTAAAGTATTTACCTATCAATACGAATTTACTCAATGCTATTCAAGGCAAGTTTTTTGTGTGGAAGCCTTTACTTCCCTCCCTCACTCCCACATCGAAACAAGGCATTTAAAGACTTTTTTTGACTTTTTGGAGCTGTGTTACAAATAAAAATGGCTAATGTTCATCTCTACAGAACTTTCCAGGGAAAAGTTACTTAAAGGCTTGCTTTTGTGAATGTAGATTTTTTTTTTTCCTTTGTAAACTGTTCTCCTTCTGTATTTGTTTCTCTTTAGCACCAAAACAGCTGTTTGTATTTAACTGTTTTATTTTAGCTAATCAGAGAAATTGGTGGCATAAATTTAAAGAAGAATGAGCCTCCGCTCACCTGCCCTTACAGCCTAAAAGCCAGAGTTCTGCTGTTGACTCACCTTGCCAGGATGAAAGTTCCTGAGGTCCTTGAAGAAGGTAATGGCTTCTCCCCTAATCGGATGTTGTTGGAAACATGTTGCATGCTACAGTACTCATTCTTGTCCATTAAAGAGTTGCATGGATCTCTGCTCAGTAATCTCTGTGCAGTGTACTTAATTAATCATTAAAGTTGAAAAACGAAGACGTTTACTTAGCATTTATTCATTCTCTTGACAGCCCTGTAATACTGATATCCTACTTCTTAAAGCTTTTTGGCTGCAAATGTGACTTTAATAATTTTTTGTCTCTTTGTAATAGAATAAAAAGTTAAACATGAAGTATATTTGCTTTTCAGAGTAAAGAAATCAAATATAAGCATAATACTGCTTTCTGACATTTCTGTGCGTGGTTATTTTTGGAGTTTTTAGCCCACTATGTGAAGCAAAGATGACAAGATTAGAACTTTAAATATCAGTTACATATGAGCTTCAGTTTGTGTTTTGCAGTTTTTCATACTTGTAAATATACAAACTGAAATGTTTCTAAATGCAGTTCTTAAGTTTCAACCACAAAATTTATGATTTCTTAGGCTGACTAGCAAACTTGAGATGTTCTGTATTTTAATGCAAATTCGAAAAACAAACCACGACAACTCAGTGAAGATACTTTGGTTCAAATTTTCCAGTTTCTTTCAAAAGAAAAATGATCAGTTTCAAATAGTCACTAAAAATCTCTCGTCTTCCTTTCTGTTTAGTTACTGTTTATACTTACAACTTCACAGATCTGTATTCAGAAGTAGTTAGTACTTTACAAATAATGTTTTTCCAAAAACTGGTATTTTACTTAAAAATATTTTTTTTAACTTATAATTAACGAAAGAGCTCATGCAGTTTTAATAAGACTGGTAGATTTTGCTGTCCTGTTGCTTTTTTAGACTGATCTGATAAATACTTCTTCATTTGGTGTGGAAGCTCCTTGTCTGGTATAAAATCTGTGTTCCTTCTTAGCACTTGCTCTTTCCTGTTTTATTAGAGAATGTCACAGATGGTTGTGTCAATGAGAATAAAGTGGGATTTTCAATAATACGAGAATGAATATAAATGAAGACTGCAACATTAAGTTTCCAGTTCATGTAAACTGTCTCCTCTTTTCCTAATAAAGTGCAGCATAATTGCAGCCAGTTATGTCTTGCAGATCAACAGTTTATCCTGAAAAAGAGTCCTGCACTACTTCAAGAAATGATTAATGTGATCTGCCAACTAATAATAATGGCTCGAAGCCGGGAAGGTAAGAAAAGAAACTGTATAATTAAAACTAGTAAATATGGTTCTTCATTGCAGTGCTTCGTAAAGTCTGTGGGAAGCTTAATCTGTGATATTTAGAAATGCCTACATGCACTTTTGCTCTTTTTACTGTAATGAGAATTCTCTATTTTGAGGATTGAAAAGCTGCTGCTGCCAAGCCCTACTCTGAAATTTTTAGTATGTGCGTTCAGCTTGTAATTCTTGCAATTAAAAGTTTCTCCTTAAATGCAATTGAAAACCTTGTTTTAAAGATCTCGTCCCATTTTCGGTAGCAAAGCACTGAGTGTAAGACAAGTTAAACCTTTTGTTCGTCCATCTTTTCACTCACACTTTTACAGTTGTTCCTTTCCTGTTATGAGTGCCACTTGTTTTTTGGGTCATTTCTTTGCCTTCGTTTCTTTGTATATTGCTCATATTTCTCCATTTCAGGATCCTGTGCTGTTTAGCCTGCTATGTAGGTTTTTTTTCTGAACTTGTAGGGGCAGGTGCTTTGCTGTAATTGCCATAAAAATTGTGATTGAAATGTAATAATAATCTTTTTATTTTTACTGTAAAAAGGCTTATGCTGAAGATGGTTGCTTACAGCGTAAAGAAACAAAGACTGGGATCTCATCCCTGTATTGCAACAAACATAGGCAAGGCCTTTTTTTTTTTATGCCCAACTGGTGACCGTTTTGTTTGCTATCAGATTATACTTACTGGTTGATCTTTACTAGATCAAAATTCTTTTAACAAGCATTGATAGCCTCCAAACAGGAATGGTTTTGGGGAAGATGTTTCCCAGCGCTATTGCAAGTGGTGCTGGAAATTGTGTTCCTAACGAAACAAAGTATGAGAGAGGGGATGTGAGCAGATAAGGATGTTTCATGCTGGCTTACGTGTCCTGTTTTAGAAAGAAGTATTAATTAAATATATTTCTAGTTCTCTTTTAAACCCTGTCCTTACTAGTTTGTGAGATGGCTGGGGAGAAAACTTGAAACCTGGAAGTAAGCAGTAGCCTATTTTTCATTGTAGAAGTAATCTTCACCTACCATTAGACTATATTTATTAATGAGTATCAATTAAGAGCTCAGCTGTGGGTATGTTTTTGTGAATATTCTCCGGACTAGCACTGTTAGAAAGTTGCAAAGAAACTTTATTGGTTTAATAGTTTAATATTTATTTCATAAAAAGCTAAGTAGCTGTTTTGGAAGTGTTTTTTTTTCTTCAAAGTTTTGCTAGCTCAGCCAGACCAAGTGCACATATTATAGCTAATTATGAAAAATACTTAAATGAAGATACCTTTTTACTTGTTTATAAGTCCTTGTGTATGCCAAATGTAGGTTTGTCTTTTTTGTTTGTTTGTTTTAAAATCTTGATAGGCTTTTATAAAAGTTCTTCAAACCTCTGGAAGATGTCTTTTAAGACATCCTATGAATATATTAGTCAACTAGCTAATACTTGTTTTCTCTTGTGCAAAATGAAACCAGAATAATACAGCCAGAAGGTTTTTTTTATGCAACAGAACTGGAAGCCTTTGAAAAATGCAAACCACCTATAGCTCTTCTTGTAAAAGCGGAAATAAGATACTTAACAGAGTACATGATATACTTTACAGCTCGAATGACCTCCAAGTAGCTGTATTATTCTCCTCTAGTTCTGTATGTACATGGAGACACCTTTTTAATTTGACAGCAAGATGGTTATTTATAGATGCAGTGTATTTAATAAACTGCTTTGAAGTTCCATCAATGAGTCTGTGAAAGTGGATAAGAATTTATAGCTGTCATTATGTATGGTAGAAGTTACTTCCATAGATTTGGGAAAAAAGTAGAAAAGTATCATAGGTATAATTGAGGATTTGTTTGGTATTTATTTAGCAGATTTTCTCAAAATTATTTCCAAAGTTTTAAAATGGCAGTATTCAGAAATTTGTATCAAACGTTTCCTCTACCTTCTATGCCAGTGCTCTCAGCACAAAGTGTTAAGGGGAAGATGATACCACACAGTTGCCCATCAGGCCAACAATAATGAAGTTGAGGACTTAAAGGTAAACCGTTTCAGAATTTTGGTCTTTGATCTAAAGGAAAATTGCCATTTTTACTACTTGTCACTTAGCAAATTCAAAATGTTGGTCCTATTTTTTGATGACTGTACATGTAGAGAGAATTTTGCCCCCTCATGAGTACTGGTGGGAAACAACTGGAAATTGAAAAGGTGTCATTATTTGTTTACTTTTTTAAAGATATGAGTAAAATTAAAGTTTATATTGAAATTTTTGAGAGACTGTTTTGTTTAAGTGTGTATTTGTCATATTAACATAATTTTAAGTAGCTTAAAACTTAACTAGAAGTGTTTCTGGGTTTAGTTCTAATTTTCACTTATATCAGCCTTGACGTGGTATATAAAATTATCACATGCTGTAATTAGCTATAGATGTTCAGCAGTCCTGATCTGTAAAAATAGAAAAATGATGGCATGCGTTAATACTCGCTAAAGAATTATTTTGGGGAGAAATCCTATTTTGTGAAACCTAAATTGATGATGGGATGAGGGCACTCATTTTGTGTTACATTCATTTATGTCTTTCAAATAGCCTCTATTATTATTATCTTAAAAATTTATCTGAAATCACTTATGCATACTTTGTGATCAAGTCTTTTGAGGAAAATTGGATGAATCTTCAGAATCTTGGCACTTTATTTTCCTTTTTAATTTTAAAAATGTCCATATAGCATTCAAGTATTGGTCCAGTGTCAGGTGTTCTTGAAGGAGAAGCGAGAAAGACTGAGAAGCGCTGAGGACAGCACACCAGGGAATGAGATTTTTGAAACTCTGCTGTCTGACCCCTTCAGAGGGATAAGCATCCTGCCTCCCCAGATAGCAAAAAGTGGTACCTCAGGCTGCTTATGCATCCCAATAAAAGCCATGGACACTGCCTTTCTTATCAAACCCTGTCAGAAACAATCTACCATCAAAGAGTGGGTGTAGTTTGGCATAAAAATCGTTTACCTCTTAATTTTTAACAGAGCTATCATTCTTTGCAAATGAGTTTGAATTTGTTATTACTTGGATTTGTTATTTTCAAGGAACAGTTTTAATCTGCTTTCATGAAAACAAAATTGATACTATTTTAATTTCATTTCTGTCAGTTTTTAGTTACTGCTAAGCTTTTCCCAGCCTGGTGTAAAACGTGGCAATTACGAGCTATGTGTAGATAAAATGTCTTGTATTCTCTTGCCTGATTTCTGCATAGTCTGTGAGATTTTCTTTTTACATGCAGCTCCCTGAAAATAGGCTTTGCTCTGTGGCCTTCCTTGCTTGCATCCGTTGTTTTGTGATGATTAACTGGTAGTTGATAATCAGGGGATCTCAGTTATCTGGATGGCTTCTTTGAGATAATCCTGAAGTATCATAAACAGATAGCTGCTCTGCCAAGCAAGGTGTTTGCTGCCAAAAAATCATGGAATTTGCCCTAATAACTGTCTGCAAAAAGGTTAGGCATCACTTCAGCTGCCCAGTCCAAGTGCATTTCTTAATTCAGGCTGGAAGCTGCAGTGTCATGTAGAGGCAGTGGTTTGACCCAGGTGTATACCATTCCTTCACAAGCAACTATGATTTGCATTTAAATTTGTGATTTACTACTTTAATGTCATATGTTTTGGATGATTAAAGGTCATCTTGCCTTGTGCACTTTGACTAGCAGAAGCTGTCAAAACCATGTGCAGTATTGGCATTCATTTTATGGTGGGGCAGTTGGGTGGTGTTAAAAGCTGCGCTGTCTCTTTTCAAACCCACTCTCAGGGAATATGAAGTCCTGCATTATTTTTCAGGAAACCAAAATAATATTCTCCAACTTTGTTAAAATATCTTCCTACTGTCATATGGATAATGAGTCAACGCTTTAAGAAAAAGAAGAATTCCTGCTCTGAGTAGTGGTCTATGGTCTCAAAGCTCTAGGTGAATTTCCTGCAAAAGCCAGTTTGTCAGAGAATATGTAGGACTCTTTTAATAACTTGGTTTGCAGTGTGGTTTTTTTTTTTTTAATTTAAAAAATCCTGTGACTTTCCATAGCAGCAGCCAAAAAAATTATGGGGGAGGTAGAAGATAGGTAAGATGGAAAGTAAATATTTTGCTATTTAGTTGGGAAATTAGTCTTTCTATTACTTTTTTTTTTTTTTTTTGGAAGGTAGAAGTTAACATCTTTGTTACTTACCAGTATTTCTAGCTGGGTGGTTCCATTTGTGTATAATCTTCACAGTGTTTATAGGTATAATGGGTCTTAAAAAAAAAAAAAAATCAACACAGCTCCTACCATATGATTTGATTTGATAGCTGATTATAGCTTGGTGTAATTAATGAATAAACAGGCCATTTGAGGGGACAAGTGCAGGTGGAGCAGAGGTGGTGGAGTCATCTGTCATTAGCATTTAACATGCTGAAGGAGAAGACGTACTGAAAATATCTTTTTTTTTTTTGTCAGATTTCTTACCATTTTGTATCTCCTCTGTAAAATGTTTTAAAATTAACTTAAACTTGCTTTTTATCAAAATACATGGCCATTGGCAGTTAATTTCAACATTCAGCAATATTTGCTTTGGTACCCTTTTGGTCAGGTGCATGTTACAGTTTACTCCTCCTCACCCAGGTGTAAGTAAACCTGCTTTTATCCACGTTTGTAATTGCCTTGCTAGTGTGGTAAGCACGATCACACAGCCCTAGCAGAGTGGGATCCTTCTGACCACCTGTCTCGGCTATCTATTGAAAGGTGCCCCTATTGTAGTGTCCCACATATACGGATGCCAGCCAAATACATCCATTACTAAATACACATACTTGTATACATATATGTATATATTTATGTATGTACACACAGAGATACTTGTATTCATACTTATTTTTATATATTTATATGCAGAATATATCTGTAACAGTCAAGGTAATCAAAGGCTGATTTTTTTGTTTGTTTGTTTTCTGAGAAAAGGTTTTAAAATTTAGGGAAAATACGCATGCTGATTCTTAAATAAAATGACAGGCATCATAAATTACAGGTGCTTTCTGTACTTGTTCAAAATTGCCTTCATTTCTTTCATATGCCACATACGAATTCAGAAAAAAATTCTGAGAATTAAGTAGCTTAAATTTCTCTTGGCTCTCTGAAGAGAATCTAACTCAGTTTACTGTTTCACGGTGAAGTGTATATATAGAGTGACCTGAACATTGCCAATTCTGGACTCGCAGCAGCTCTTGAGCTGCAGGGGAATTCTGAAATGAGTTTTCTAAACAGGGGTTTGAGAAGTCTTATTTATGAATGGACAGTTCTCTAACAAAGTTAAATAGCAGTATATGGAAACCTGTTTGCTTTGCTTTTCCATTTCTTTGCAGAAATGATGAAGAGTATTAAATTACTTTTTTTTTTTTTTTTCTCTTGCTTGATTCCGGTTGAGACTTTCTCCTAGTCTGTCTTTTGATTATTTTAATTATGGAGAGTGTATACCTCATTGTACTTTAAAACATTAAAGGAATTACAGGTATTTTCGAAAATAAAAGTCAAATATGTGTTTGCTCAAATGCCCCTTTTAACCTCTAGGTGTACTTATAAAAGCCATGCCTTTGATGTTTTTATAGCTATTCTTCCTGCTTTCTGACATAATATGGCATGTTTAGCTTCAGTTATACCTATGTTTTTTTCTTGCATGTAGTAGGCTGCTACCTTTGTGTTCATCTCAAGATGAAAATCTTACAAATAATGTATTGTATTGTAAAAGATTAATGTTTAATGATAAACTATATTTAATGATATGCTTACAAAGTTTAATTTTTTTTTTTATACTGAACTGGTGGAGTTTTTGTAGTACTTGCATAGATACATTGTGCTGTTCTTCCCTGAGACAATATTAGATGGAAGTCTTTCTTAGTGTTCAGCTGTGATAGTCTAAATAGAGGGAAGAAAATGTCTGCTGAGCTGTGAGACTGCAGTGAGAGTAAAAAGGCTGCCTGGTTAATTATGCTGAACGTTTTAAGATGCCTCTGTCTTTTGCTTGACTAAACCCAAGATTTTCTGTAGTCTGTAACATAAGTATGCATTGTAAAAGTGTAAGAAAAAAAAAAAATTGTTACCTGTTTCATTCTCCCCAAGAAAGGGAGTTCCGTGCTCCATCTTTGGGATCGTTGGAAAATTGCATGAAGCTTTCCCAGATGACTGTCCAGGGACTTCAGCAGTTCAAGTCTCCCCTTTTGCAGTTGCCTCACATTGAAGAGGACAACCTTAGGCGGGTCTCCAATCATAAAAAGGTATAAAACTATGACTGATACTTGGTAACATTTCCCATTACTTCTTTTAGGTATTTGCCTATAAGGAAGGAAGGTCATGAATTAACTAAGAATAAAAATGTTTCTTTAAAGTCCATCTCAGGAAGTGGGAATTAAGATCAGAGTGTAAAAGAGTGTAAAAGATCAGTCTACATTGACCTCACAAGCAGAAGAAACAGTTTCCTTCTTATTACAGAGTACTGTCATAGAATCATAGAATTACAGAATCTTTATGGCTGGAAAAGACCTTTAAGATCATCAAGTCCATTGTCTAACTCTACCAGGCCCACTTCTAAACCATGTCCCTGAGCACCATGTTAGACAGCTGTTAAATACATGCCAGGACAGCAATTCAACCACTTCCCTGGGCAGCCTGTTCCAGTCTTTGATAACTTTCAGTGTAGGAAGTTCTTCCTAATGTCTAACCTAAACCTCCCCTTGCGCAACTTGATGCCATTTCCTCTTGTCCTATTGGTTGTAACTTGTGAGAAGAGACCTACACCCACCTTGCTACAACTCCTTTCAGGTAGTTGTAGAGAGCAATAAGGTCTCAGCCTCCTTTCTTCGGACTAAATAACCCCAAGTCCCTCAGCTGCTGCTCATAAGACTTACTCTCAAGACCCTTCACCAGCTTTGTTGCCCTTGTCTGGACCTTCTCCAGCACCTCAATGTCCTTCTTATACTGTGGCACCCGAAACTGAACACTACTCAAGGTGCCTCTTCACCAGTGCTGAGTACAGTGGGGCAATCACTCCTCTGGTCTTGCTGGCTACAGTATTCCTGATACAGGCCAGGATGCTGTTGGCCTCCTTGGCCACTTGGGCACACTGCTGGCTCGTGTTCAGTTGGCTGTCAATCAACACCCCCAGGTCCTTTTCTGCTGGGCAGCTTTCTAGCCACTCTTCCCCAAGCCTGTGGCACTGCATGGGGTTGTCATGACCCAAGTGTAGGACATGGCACTTGGCCTTGTTGAAGCTCATACTGTTGGCCTCAGCCCATCGATCCAGCCTGTCCAGGTCCCTCTGAAGAGCCCTTCTACCCTCAAGCAGATCAACACTCTCACCTAACTTGGTGTTGTCTACAAACTTATTGAGGGTGCTTTCAATCCCCTTGTTGAGATCATTAATAAAGATATTAAACAGGAGTGGCCCCAACACTGAGCCCTGTGGAACACCACTTGAGACCGGCTGCCAACTGGATTTAATTCCATTCACCACCACTCTCTGGGCCTGGCCATCCAGCCAGTGTTTGATCCAGCAGAGTGTACACCTGTCCAGGCCTTGGGAAGCCATTTTTTTTTCACGAGAATGCTGTGGGGAACAGTATCAAAGGCTTTACTGAAGTCTAGGTAAATAACATCCACAGCCTTTCCCTCATCTACTAAGCGGGTCACCTTGTCATAGAAGGAGATCAGGTTTGTTAAGCAGGACCTGCCCTTCATGAACCCATGTTGACTGGGCTTGATCATCTGGTTGTCCTGTAAATAGTATGTTATAGCACTTGGGATGATCTGCTCCATAACCTTCCCTGGCACAGAGGTCAGACTGACAGTTCTGTAGTTTCCCAGATCCTCCTTCCAATTCTTCTTGTAGATAGGCATCACATCTGCTAATCTCCAGTCCATTGGGTCCTCCCCAGTTAGGCAGGACTGCTGATAAATTATCAAGAATGGTCTGGTGAGCACATCCACCAGCTCCTTCAGCATTCTTGGGTGTAACCCATCTGGCTCCGTAGACTTGTGTATGTCTAGGTGGTGCAGCAGGTCACTAATCATTTCTTGGATTATGGAGATCTCATTCTGTTCCCCATCTCTGTCTTCCAGCTCAGGGGACTGGGTACCCAGCAAACGATGGGTCCTGCTATTAAAGACTGAGGCAAAGAAGGCGTGAAGTACCTCAGCCTTTTCCTCATCCTTAGTTGCAGTCTTTCCGTGTGCATCCAATAAAGGAGGAAGATTCTCCCTAGTCCTCCTTTTGTTGTTAATATATTTATAGAAGCATTTTTTAATTGTCTTTTACTATCTCCTATTTAATATAACATTTTTCCGGAATATAGCTGGAATACTGGGATTTTTTTTTTCCTTGTTTGGCTTTACATCGTTCTTAATCTAGTTTGATAGAAAATATATTTGGAAGGTAGCACAGAGGAGTTCATAAAACGAAAAAAACTATCAGTTACTGTGGGAAGTATTTCAGATTTTATCACCCTTTATGTATGAAAGAGGATGCTTAAAAAAGCTATTGCTGTGTAGTTGGATAAGTGTTGGTATTTGTAGAATTTAAGCATAGAATAGTCTTGAATACCTGCATACGTGTCTTCACTCCTGTTACACTCACTATATCACTGTTTTCAAACCTTCTTGTTTGTTTGACTGTAGTATATCTTCTAGGGATTTCTGGTTAGAAACAAGCAGTTATTTTCTAGTAGAAACCGTTGATTTTTGTGATAGTCTTATTACGCTGGTTAATTCTTACCAATCTTAAAAATATTCTTTTTATCTATGGAAGTTTTGTGTAGCTTTAATTACAGCCCTAGGTGGTGTTTAAATGTTTCTGTGTTAATGTGAAGATAAAGTATTCTTGAATATTGCATTTTTTTAATCCCCTTTGAAGATAGCTTGTTCATCAAATAGTCAAGTAGTCTTTTTCTTTGGATGAAGTAAAAGAACCACGATCTTAGAAGTATCATCATACACTTACTTTTCTTAATCCAGCCCTAAACTACAGGGAGCCCCACAAAAAGTACACAATTTTAGATATAATTTTTGGCACGTGCAGTGTAACGAAGTACAGAAATCAAGAATTTGGCCATGTCATAATTCTGCCTGTCCTTCCTCTGAAAGAGTGATGAGACCAATTTATTAGGGTTTTGTTTGTACTGGATTCCCATTCATTGAACTTTTCAAAAAGACAGTCCTCTAGAGTGGAGGTGTGGTCAGTCACCCTAGAGGCATGAAGTTGTTTAATTAAAATACGCACTTTTCTAACAGACCGAAGTAGTCAAGTGGTCAGACAAATCTGTGTTTGTTTTATCCTTTTCACTCTGGCCTTCAGATCTTAAAAGGAATGGTTTTAGATTTGTTTGCAATTCGGTATTAAAAAGAAAAAAAAAAAAAAGTAGCTTGTTCCTGCTAATATAAATCTCAAAGCATTGAAATACTCTAAATAAAGAACCCAATTAGTAAAATTTCTTGGCTCCGCTTTCCGAGAAAGCTGTCTGAAGTAATAGTTTTATAAGAAATGTATTCAGTGTCTAAGGGGTGACATAGTATGGAACACACCGATGTTCAAAGCAATGCTATTTAGCAGGTTTGAATGCAACCCCTTTGTTTTATTGTTTTTCAAATCATATGCTTGCTAGTTTCCTAAAGTATGTTTTTTATAAGAACTAATCAAATGGTGTGTATATATTAATAATGTGGGGATACAAATGATGTATTACCAAGAGTTTACGTGTGGACTGTGTTCTCTGCTACCGTGTGACTTCCTTTTTCTTTTTTTTTAATTCAGTATAAAATCAAAAGTATTCAGGATTTGGTGAGTTTGAAAGGTTCTGATCGTCGCAATTTACTGCATTTCCTAGAAGATAAGAAATATGATGAAGTTATGGCTGTCCTTGGCAGCTTTCCATATGTCACTATGGATATAAAACCACAGGGTGAGTGGGAGGTCCTTTTGTTCTGTATATGTTGCTCTTCTGACATTTTGATAGTCTGTTGGCAGTAAGCTTTTGGAGGACGCTGAAACACAACTCACTATTATTTATGTGGTCTGGAAATTACATACTTTTTTGAGTGGCGGGTTCTTGCACATAAGATTTATAGTGTGAGGAGATAAAGTACATTGAAACATTTCACAGATTCCCAAGCCAGCAGTACTTTCTCCTACAGGAGCTTATCTGGTATTTCAGCCATTGATTTAATATTTCATGAGCAATGTGGAATTCTGTTTGAAATACCACTTTTATTAGCTATCTTAAAAAGTTGTACTTATTCCAGGATTTATGGACTTACTCCAGCATGGAGAGTCCTTTGTAAGATTTTTGAGTTGGAGACCCTGATGACTAAGTATTCATGGGTTCCTTTGTGGTAATCCTTGTATGGTTTCTATATCTGGCAGAATTTGTCCATGCTGTGCTTAGCTACCTTTTGCATGCACTGTTTCAATGAATGTATAATGCTCTTCCTTTCTGAAGATTAGGTATATTATTAAGCGGTTCCTGTTAGGCAGCCTTTCAGTGGAAGGTGAATTGGTTCTGCGGTCTCCTTTCCTTTGTAGATGATCAGTGCTATTAACTATGAGACATTTGAAAGGTTGTTTCTAACTTGTATTGTTCCTGTGGTTGCAATGATCAAATTCAAAATGGGATACGTTTTGTTTGGGTAACCTAATTTGTAACTTGGCTTATGCATAGTCCTCTGTGAGAAGCAAACATTAATGGAAATATCTGTTAAAGAAGCAAAAGTCTGTTAAGCCTGGTATTTCTGAATGTTGTTTATGTGTGTTTTTAAAAACAAACACAAAAAAGACTTTATTTTGTAGCACAGGATTGTACACAGTCGTGTACCTTCCCATGTTTTGGCAAGCAATCCTTTTCTGCATGTAGTCTTTCTTTGTCACACAACTGTACTCAGGTGTGATACGGAGGATTAAACAATGCATATGCTTTTCTATTTAGCTTGATATTACCATTATATAAAATATACATGTAAAACTAGTGAGTAGTAAAACTGCTTTCTTGGGGTGGTGGTGGGAAATCCACACTGGGATATAACTCTCTTCCTTCCCAACCTGGGAGATTCTCCAGTTCATAGACTGGAGATATAAACTCCTCAGTGGCATTCCTGTGGGTTTTATTTTTGATGTTTTAGTTAAAATAATCATTGCTGTTCTTTTATTTTCCTTTGCCTTCTACTTAAAAAAGAATTAAATGCACGATTGTTAATGTGGCATTGAAATTGAGTTGTTAATCATATGAAAGTCAGGAAAATCAAAGTTATGATTCCCAGAACAAATATAACAAGGTCCCTTTGGTCATGTGTGGTATTTCATGTTTCTGAAGTTTTATGCTTTAATATATAATGCACAATATTACAGAGTTATGGTTCCCACAGCAGCTATAACTTTGAATTTTCTAACTTTCATGCAATTAAAATTTCAAACTCAATGTTGCTGTTTTATAGTTTGCTGAATTAACGGCCCTCCTCCTGATAGTATATTTGAGGTTGTAGGAGACTTATTTAAAAATATTTTGAAATTCTCTTTTGTTAAAATTGCTGGAATTTGTATGCTTATATTTAGACAGAAGCAATGTTTCATGAAAAAAAAAAAGGCTTTATAGAAGGTTTAATATATGTGTTGCTTTTCTTTTTACACTAGTTTTGGATGATGAAGACAGCAACAATATTACAGTAGGTTCTCTTGTCACTGTTCTGGTCACACTAACAAGACAGACCATGGCAGTAAGTATTAAGAATACTTGTTCTTTCAGGGTAACTGCAAGTATATGCTAATAAACAGGCATTTCTTCTTTGCAAGCTAACATAGCGTTTTGTAAATAAAACTCTAAAATTAAGATTTGAAATGGAGAACTTGTGCTCTTAATCCTCCCTTATGTTTTTGTTTCTGAATCAGAAAGTTTTCTTGGAATCAAACCAAAGTTCAGTCTGACCCGTTGGCAGTTTTGTAGGGAACAGTAAAAGAATATGGCAAGCGATACTGCCCTGAGATTTCTAAATAACAGGAAGAGATATTCAGAAACCTAGTTTTTGAACCAGAATAAAGTATTCACTCAAGTCCTTAGGACGGTGTTTGATTTCACTTTATGTGGGCTCATAATGTTACAAATCCTCTTGGGTGTTTTAGACACTTTTATGAAAGAAACTCAGTCCAGCAGAATGCAGAATATGCATAACTTAATAAAAAGGAGGTACACCAGTGCCACATCAAGAAAGTGGAATGCTGAATGGGTAGCAATGTGGCATAACCAAATTAATACTACACTCTAGTAGTTAATCTTCTGACTTGTGCTTATTTTTTAGCTTAAAACGTAGTTAGTAATGACTTTCTTTGAACAAAAAACTTAATGCACAGAAACTAAACAAACTTGTACCTGACAAAGCCTACAGTGTCAATTTTTGCATGTGTACTATCCAGATAATCATCTAAGTAAATGGAAAGTCCGAGTTATGCCCCTAAGGTAAGGCATACAAGCCATGAGTATAACAGCTGATCAGACGAGTCATTGAAACCAGTTCAGCAGAAAGCAGTCTGTATATATAAGTACCATGGGTTCACACTATGGATTTAGGAATGCATCATCTCAATGATAATTGAGGGTGCAGTAGGTAGAAAGTAAAAGCACTGTACCACTATGCTGGACCTTAAAAATGAGGGAAACTGAAAATTGTGAGCATATTGAACTGTACTTAAAAATTAATTAAAATGTTTGACAGCATATAGGAAACGCATTTAAGATGTTTTCTACGTGAACCCCACTAGGCAGTCTGGAATTGAGATACATGACCTAAAAATAAGAGATAGCTTTTTATATGATGCTTTTTTTATGGTGGTATCTCATATTTGCCATCTTTGTATAAGACAGCTCCTTATGACTGATTTTTTTTTTTTTTTTTTAAATAGCATGTATTATGTTTTGAAGAAAGAAACGCATGAAAAAAAATCCATTTTCATAGAGATGTTCTCTTCTACATAGTAATAACATCGTTTTTTGTCTTAACGTTTTATATTTCTGGTTAGATTTGTTGTCCTGTGTCCCTGAGTAGCAGTGCGGCTGTTGAAGTTTTTAATGCTCTGGCAACTAGAGCAGAATTTGCATTTTTACTACTGCTTGCTTTTGTGATACAGGATTTCTATGCTTTATAAAACAAGTAGATTCTTTGGAACAAGATGACATATTGTTACTAAATTTCTTTATAAATGCTAGTGATGGAAAAATCCTAGACCAAAGGTTCGAAACAGTGTTTAATTTTGATCTGTTAATCTCCTGTTGTGTTTGTCACTGATAAAAGAATTTGTCATGATGATTAAAACCTTCAGACCTGATTAGGGTGATTTAGTTTAAGTTCAAATATAAAATAATAATTTGCTCTTCTGGTATAGAGAGGCATTAATAGTTTTCACATCTTTCTTTAACCAGGAAGTGTTTGAAAAGGAACAGTCTATATGTGCAGCAGAAGAGCAACCAACAGAAGATGGGGTAAGTGAACAATGAATGTTCCTCATGCTAGCTAAAGAGAGCTTTCTTTCAGATCTTGAGTTGCTAATTGTGCGCTTCTCAAGATCTCTTTTTTTTCCCAGAAATGCCTATTGAAGCATCTCTTGAGCTATGCTTTCTAACTAAGTTACATCTAACTTTAAAATGCTTAAAGTACACTGAATGCCTGAAATTTAATGAACAGAATAAATATTTTAAATACTGCTTTCCTACAGCAAGGAGATGTCAACAAAGTTAAGAGCAAAGGATGGCAGCAAAAGAATAAAGGAACCAAGAAAGCTTCAAAATCAAAGAAAAAGAAACCATTGAAAAAGAAACCTGTGCCACCTTCGTTGCAGCCACCGAAACAGCAGAAGCAAAAACAAGCTAATGGGGTAGCTCATAGATTCATTGATATTTTAGTATTTTGTTCAGCTTATCACTCCTAATCTGATGGGTTTTTTTTCTGTCTCTTACATTTAATTCTATGCTTTGGTAAAGCATATCTCCTAAAACAGCTTTTTTTTCTTTACATTTAAAAATTACTGTGGTGGTTCCCTGTTTTTTTTACAAGTAATGTTTCCAGTGGCCTGCTGAAAGTTGTGACCAACTAGTTTAGAAGTCTGGCTTCATAGTCCCTTCTTATTAGTTCTTGTCATGCTACCTTCTGGGAGGTAGATTGTTCTGTGCCTTCTGCTTTTCCTTTAAAGGAAAAAACATGAAACGAGACTTTCTTTTGGTAAATTAAGTAGCTTTGGTACCTTTATGCTCCCACTGCATGGTGTTTTCTCCACCTCATGGGCCATGTTGTAGGTACTTTCTTATATTCTCTCTTCTTTTCTTATGACTTTTTGAAATGCAACCCCAGAACCAAATACTGTTTTCTCCGATTTGTGTTGTGGATGCCATATGGAGAAGGAAAATTGCTTCCCTGGTCCTCTTAGCACATGAGGTGAAAAGTATTAATCTTCACTGTAGATATAACTCTACGACAGCAGAAGACTGTAGATCACAATAGGAAATAAGGGCTATGACCTTAAGACAGGTGCTGTGAATACTGCATACTACAATAATGCAGACAAACTAAGTTAGAGGTTTTTGTTTTTTTGTTTTGTGTCTTTTTTCTTTCCCTTTAGGAAGTAGTTGCGAAGGAAGAAGAAGAGGAGATCTCTGATAAAGGAAGTGAATCTGAAGAAGAAGAAACAAACAGGGACTCTCAAAGTGAAAAAGATGACGGAAGTGACAGAGATTCTGACAGAGAACAAGATGAGAAGCAAAACAAAGATGATGAAGCTGTAAGCCTTACTTTTTCTTGAAGGGTAATGTTGCCTCTGGGGTTGAGAGAAAATGCATTTTAATCCTCTAGCATCCCCTCAGGCTAGGCAACACTAGGATGAAGGAGTAATATCTGTTCTCCAGTGGTTTTCAGACCTCATTCCAGCATAAGAGCTTTGTCATTGCAAGCCTGTTTCAGAGAGAACGGTGAAGGGTCTTTGCAGAATAGACAGAAAACTTAAAAATGGCATGAGAAAAATAGGTTAATTTCAAGGAAAGGTTGTAATGTTTCTTTCAGCTTAATTTCATTACTAGTTGCTGCAGATTTTGTGAGATGAAGTCTCTCCTTTGAACTTTGTTCTTTACATATGGTTGTTGTTGCATACTGCATAATGCATACTATAAGCATGCAGTAGTTGAACAAATTGTATATGGTCTTACTAAAGTCTAGTGACTGTTAATAATTTAGTCATTTGAAACACTGGATTAAGAGGTAGTAGTTGAGAATGAGGCATTGTGGTGGTAGATGATTTCTGCACCACAGGTCTTATTGTGGAAAATTTGAGAGTGACAGCTGGAAGCCCTGTACAGGCTGAGAATAAGCTTCTGATGCAAAAGAATTGTCAAGCTTGTAATCAGGACAGATCAGGTAGTGAGTGTTTATAGGCAGTGCTGTAGAAGTTTTTTTGAAGAATGTGTGCAAGCCCCACAGATCAGTGTTTTGGGATGGTTTTTTATTTTGTTTTTTAATATTAACATGAACGGTCTCTTTAGTTTTACTGTTGCTTGATATTTTTTTTTCTTTTAATCATACTGTATAACTTAATCTCTATGTACACTTATGTCACTTTTGTATTGTTTAGTATAGCACAAGAACTTGTCGTATCACGTGTATCATTTCCACGGGCTAAAATGTCTGTCTTTTTTTAATGCAAAAGATGTCTAGTGCACAGTAACTCTTTAAACTTATCTTTGACAGGAGTGGCAAGAATTACAGCAAAGTATACAGAGAAAGGAACGAGCCCTTCTTGAAACGAAGTCAAAGATAACACATCCCGTTTACAGTCTTTTTTTCCCTGAGGTCAGTAATAGAAAACATTACATTTGTGAAACATGAGAGTTAATATAATAGAAACTACTTGCTCTTTTTGTGTTTTTACTCTAAATAATGGGCTTTTTAAAAAGTCTAATATTTGAAAAAATTGCTAATTGTCATTAAAAAAAGGTCTTAATTTAGAAAATCCTCTTAAACACCTTCAGATGCTTTCCTAAAAAGTTTTAATGTATTATTCTCTGTCCAGTTCCCAGAGACTTGCAAACTTGAATAGAATTTAAGATTTCTTTTTGATGGCAATGATGCTAAAGTTGTTTTGTTTCCCGCTGATCTGCTACAAATAGATTCCGAATGAAACCTTTCAGATATATAGGGATCTAATTTATAGTACTTTTTTTTTTGCTATGGAATGTGAAAACACAGCAGTGTCTCTAATACAGAGTTAAGGATAGAGTATTACTTGCTCTTTATCTAACTGCAAACGCCTGTGAGAGGGGGAGGTCCTGACCCTCCTGTGTTAACAGAAATGACAGGAGAGTTTGGGGGTCATTTGGATCAGCAGATTGTTTTGGCTTGCTGCTTGACTGCAAGTCTCAGTGCAGCAGCGGAAGATGGAGAGGGTTAGCAAAGCTGTCTTCTTCTATCACAGTGTAGTCTGGAAGTGGCGGAAGCCAATTGTGGAACGATCTTTCCTATGGAGTGCAACATTACAAGATCAGGTGTGGAAGGGTATCAGAGGAAGGGATGTATTTGAGAGTGGTGACTCAGTATAGTAGATAGGCTGAGGTGTCTCTACAGCAGCCTTTGGTATTGGAAGTATGTTCTGATATATCAGTTGTTACTTACACAAACAGCTGAATACTTGATAGGTGTCTGAAAACCCATTACAGCAATGAAACCTTGAAAAAGATGGGATTTTTCAAAGCGTGGGGTTTGTGTTCTGAGCAAATAGGTTATGTCTTTGGGAGGTGACCAGACTGGAACCAGAAGGAAGGAGTATTTGGCCACACTTTCTTTCTGGGCCAGTGGTTCAGAGGGTTTCCTTTGCTTCCCTCCTGTCTGACTGGGGAACTAGTCTAGGATCTCTCCTCTGTCATCGTGCTATCTCCACTAACAGGGAGGCGGGATGCAAGGCTTATGCTTCCTCTTGTGGTTTAAAGGAGACAACTGAGATGAGGAAGAACAGGAAAACATGAGAAAAAAAGGAAGATACTGTGTATGTTTGCTCCTTCTTTTCAGTCCGCAGGGCTCTTTCTGTCTATACCCTGTACTGCTTGTTGTGTGTGCAAAACGTACTCCCTTGTCCCCGTGCTTGTGACCACACTGTTCCTGCCGTTTTTAGGTAGTTATGCCATTATTAGAAAGCAAATTGTGGGAAGCAAGACCTGTTGCTAAGGAGCCAGACAGGATATACAAATAAACCAAAGGAATTGTTTTCCGAATCCTTTAGCTGAGTTTTGTGGCCTCACGACATCTAGTTTTGCAATTGCTGATCTTAATGCTCTATTTTCCGAACACTGTTAGGTACACCCCTGTCTCTCAGTACAGCTTCCAGCAGTACACCAGCATAACAGGAAAAGGTGTACTGGCGTTCTGCTCTTCTGGCTGCCTTAGATCACGTCAAATATACAGCTGAGTGAGTCTTAATACCTCCTTGCGGCGAAGGCAGCTGGCTTTGGTCATTAGTCTGAGCTCAAACAGCGCCAGTGCTATGCCCAGTGCCACAGGAGCGCTAACTATTCGTATTTCTTTTTCACTGCAGTGAGGGTTCCTTTGGAGATTTTGCTTGTAGTTACTCTGTACAAAGCTGCTTAAGCTTCAGCTGTGTGTAACCAAGCTGCTGATCGGTTTTATGATAAAACCGAAATACAGTACTATGCTAAAAAAATAATCTAGGGCTGAACTGAATACTTGAACTTGAAAGATACACAGGTATTGTCTCATGGTACTGCAGTTGTAAGTTTTTCAGCCTCTCTTCACTGATGTACTGAAAGTTGAATGGAGCTGTACTTAGCAGATAGAGTTGATTTGCAATGTCTGAAGAACAAAATCCATCGTACTCTCTGGCTGTTTTTCTCATCTGCGATTTAGAGTATTATGTGTATTGTGGTCATGGCTGGTTCAGAGATGCAGACTTAAGGATGAAATGCTGTAGTTGTGTGAATCTCTGTGTTTCCAGAATTTATAGATGTTTGAGTGTAGCTGAGCCCAATATATTTATTCTTAGGGGGTAGCCTTAACACTATTTCATCTAATTTTTTGGGCAGTTGATTACTCTGCCAGAGATGCATCTTTAATCTATGCAGGTTCCTAAATATCTTCTGCTCCTGCATCCGTGGATCCAGAAACTGCACAGATTGTAGTTTTGACATTTTTAGGTAGAAACTGGCCCTGGTGTTCCAATTTCATGAACATACTGGTTCCCTGGCATGCCAAACCTTGCACCCATCTGTTAAAGGGCATTTTGCCCGCTTGCCTGTTAGCTTGCCAGATTCTCACAGGCATAAACTTTAAATTCCACCCAATAAGAGAGAGGAAAATGACACTCCTGCACAGTTGTCCTTTCTATAAAAAAGCAGTGGTACTTTGGGGTCAGGAGCTTTACTTCCAAAGAGTTTACTCTGTAGATTCCTTTGAGCATTAGATCAATGAATGTTACTTGTTCTGGTATTTTTTTCCTCCCTTGGCTGTTATTTTTACCGTTTTTTGTGAAAATCCAGTTGGCAGTTTTGATCTTTGTTCTAAAAAAAAAAATTATTATTCCTTGCCATTGAGTGCGATGGAAACATACACAATGTATAGTAAGTTAGCACAGTGTTTTAGTAACATCAAAAATAACATATTGATGCAAATGCAGTTCCTTTTTTCTGTGGTCAGAGTCCTTATAGGTCCAAAACGGCGAGTAGCCATTTTTGTAATGGATCTAGCTCTTGTAGTTCTTGTTCATCTGTACTATTTATACTGTTTATCCTTCTATTCCTAGAGGCCCCTTGGCTAGGAAATAAACACTTCGACTGCATAAGATTCTTCTTTCTACAGCTGTCAAGCAGATTGACAATATATTTATTGTTGAAACTTACAGATAAAATAACTTATGCCTTGTAATAACATGGGACAGTTTTCCATAAAGAAAATCACTTAGAATAGTCGTAAAAAGGACTTCTTACAAGTCTACAAATTCTGGTCTTAAATAGCATGTGAATAGGGTTTTGTCCTGTTCTCAGTTGCCCCTTGTGCTAAACACGTGAAGGAATGCTGTTGCTTTATTGTGATGCAGTCACTTTTACTTTTATGCACTGTAAAATGGGCATTAATGTATTGAATTAATTTTAAACTCTCTGCTCTGGGACTCAACAGTGCTAATCAGGGTGTTCTGGTTGCTGGTGTGATTGTCTTGCCGTTATAAATGTGTAGTTTGCTAGTTGAATATTTCAGTGAGATGATGGTAATTATTACTAGTATACAATCAGCCATTTCAAAAGAGAGGACGAGTTAATTTAGCTTTTGTAATTTTTCAACCTGCATTATTTAAATCCCAGATCACCAAACATCGGCTTCTAAAGTGTTTAAACAAAACCAAAACCACACCAAAACTAACGAACTTTTGACTCTTTCACTAGAGACAAAAATTCTTCAAATTCTACATATTAACAGCATTTGCTTCCCACCTGTGGAATTTGGAAGGGGCTCAGTGGTGGTGTTGAAGGGCACTGTATCCTTTCATTCAGTCCTTCTAATGCTGTTTGATTAAAAATGAAACACAACAATTGCACCGAAGCAACCACCTGATTGTTGGTGGTGTAAATATATAAAAATTGGCCTGATGGTTTGGAGCTTGACTTGTAAGTGTTACAAGATAGACTCTTTAGGGCTCCAGTTTATTCCAAACGTGATCAGTTACCAGACTATCAGGGGTGGGTAAAAATTGTTTTGGAACACAGTTCAGCAATCTAACGTTTGGGTTGCCTGAAAAATGTGATCCCCCCCGTCTTTTTTCCCCAAGGGTAAGATTATGCTGTTATGGCTATTACCTATCTGCTAAAATACTTCTTCATAACATTGAAGAAGTCTTCCCCTCCCTCACTTTTTTAAAGAAAAGACTAAAGGAGTTGAAAGAACAGAAACTTGCTTTGCAGTACTAAACTAACTTCTTTGCAATAGAAAGGTTTCAGCTTCTATTAAACCAAAGTGGATTTTGCCTAAAACACGTGCCACAGGGTTAACCAAGAAGGAATAGTGGTTAAATGAAGAGCAGTTGATGTTGAAGAGCTATGGTCTTTCCCACTTGAGAATGGTTGTGTCTGTGCTGCTGAACTGCACCACAGTCTTAAAAATCTAACTCCAATTGAGGGATAAACTATTAATTTTGTACAGTGTTGCTGTCTTCTATGAAGAGCTGCACTCATTTAATTTTGTTTAGTTTAGGAACTATGCTTTAGTGCCTGCAGTGGCAAGACCTTTGGGACCTGTAGGTATTTTTAGCGCTGTGTGTGGTAGGCAGTAGTTGTCGGGTATCCTTTGCAAACACCAGTACTGCCTGTGGTTCATAATTCCTTGAAGTGAAATCTAGGTATGTCCAAATTCCAACTTTCAGGAGATTCCTGCTTTTTGGAGGGGGAGAAAAGCAGTGGGGCAAAATATACTCTCCTGAAAAAGATTCTTTACTGGGAAGAGTACTTTATCTGTCTTGTGGCATGCCTTCCTTTATACGCTGACCTTATTATTGAGGCTGGATTTCTGTTGAAGTGTCTAAGGTAGTATTATATTGCGTGAAGCTGCTTATTAATCCATAGTGGACACAATTTTTCAGAATGGTTCCATGTCTCACGTGGTAGCTTAGGCTGAATATACAGAATGAAGCCTTTGGAGACCAACAGTTGCTTGTGGTAACCTGTTTGCTTTCGGTGTGCTGTATATACTATGTATTTTATTCAAACACAATCCAAGAATTTTAAAAAAACCCAACCAAACACGCACAAACTGCCTTCTTTCTATCTGTATTATAAGGACCAACTAATCATAATTACCTGTTATAAAGTGTAGGGGCATCCTTTTATATGACTTCAATAATCCTGTTTTGTGATTTTTCTTATGCTTTTTTTTTCTTTTATGAAAGGAAAAACAAGAATGGTGGTGGCTATATATTGCAGATCGGAAGGAGCAGATGCTAATATGTATGCCATATCACGTTTGTACACTAAAAGATAAAGAAGAGGTAAAGTACTTGAAGAATTTTCTTTTGGCATATTGCGAAACTGTACTGAAGTGTCTTATGGTATGCAAATACATTTAGATTTTAATTTTTTCATACTTATCTCTTAAGATGGTAAACAGATTTTACTCTACTGATAAAAGAAAATTGATAATGGAGAAAGAAGAGATAATTTAAGAAGACTTTCAAGTTTCTTTGCAGAATATGATTTTTTTCCCTGATATCAAAAGCTGATTAAAACTAGTATTCATACACAATGATCATTCTTAAACTTATTAAAATGTGTGAGAAATACTAAGTGTTCTTTTTCTGTAAAGCAGAGACTGTGACAAATTAATTAGCCTCGGCTCATATGAACCTTTCTGAGATTGTAACCTTTGGCTGTGTTCTTTGCTTTTCTGAAAAATGGAGATTTGATGTATTTTGCTCTTTCAAATGAGATTTTATATGCAATTTCAAACAACAGTAGAGTTAAGCTAATACTTTCAGCATTTTATTTTAACCTGTTTGGGTTTTTGAGATTTAGGAAGCATACAACAAGTTGAAATTGTGTACTTAAAAGCAGAGTTACTTTGGTCTAATTCAGAAAATAATGTGACTTGATTATTCATCTTTCATGGAAGGTGTTGTGCTTGGGTGTAAGTCTCCTTTCTGCGGGTGTTTTGTTCTATAGAGATTTTCAAAGAAGTGTCACTTGTAAGAAACTATTATGTTTTCTATAAGACATAAATACTATTCTGTAGTAGTATTTACTCTTCATTAGAGTACTTAGATACTTGTTCTAATGTGTACGTTTAAAGCAGAAGGAACTTACGGTGTGAATTCTGTTTTGTAGGTAGAGCTGAAGTTCCCGGCACCAGGCAAGCCTGGAAACTATCAGTACACAGTTTATTTAAGATCGGATTCATATATGGGTTTGGACCAGATTAAACCATTGAAGGTGATGTATAATTGTTTTATGTATTTGTATTATATTGAAAGTAATTCATATGGTTGTTAAAACCCCCACAGTCCTGTTATCTTTAAGAATTCAAGCTGTTATAATTTAAAGCAGTGGAACGAGGGACTTACTGTTGGTTTCTGCCTGATGCCAGTAGTGGCAATTTTATGATGGATTAAACAGGACTAAAGTTTGTGATGCTTTCCAGTGCCTGCATATTTTAATACATGTTTGCTTATTTGTATTCAATTTCTGCAGTATGGTTGGCTCTGGCTTTATACCTTGAGGCCTGCCATGCCATTTCCCTGCCCTTAGTCCTAGATACATCCAGTTAATGAGATGCATGCCTTATTTCTGAAAGCAGATGATAGTTTTGGTTTGTTTTGTTTGGTTTTTTTTTTTTAATGTCAATTTCGTGTGTGGTGTCCTTTGTTTTGGGGTTTGTTTTTGGTTTCCCAAATTGATGTGTATTGTAAGTAACATCCCCCCCCCTTTTCTTTCTTTTTCTTTATCCACTTACAGCTGGAAGTTCATGAAGCAAAACCAGTGCCAGAAAATCATCCACAATGGGATACAGCAATAGAAGGTGATGAGGACCAGGAAGACAGTGAGGGCTTTGAAGACAGTTTTGAGGAGGAAGAGGAAGAGGAGGAAGATGATGATTAAACAATACTATTGATTGACTACAATATCTGCACACACTGCAAACTCTTGGTCTGACTGTGGAACTGTACAATAACCAAGAAACACAGTACAGAAGCTTTGAGAAGGCTGAGTTTAATTTTTCTTTACCAATTAAGAGTGCATTATGTAACTTCTCAGTGGAGGTGAAACAAATCTGTTGCCATTGATACACCTTGGAATATGCTTATGGCTCGTTATAGCCTTCAAGTGCAGGATGGTGCATTTGTTTCAATTGAAAAATAAAAGCTTTTTTATTATAAATGTCCGAAAGTGTGGGCTATGTATTGTCTGATCAGTTTAGGGTCCAATTTAAATAAAAGGTACTATTAGCTAGGAGCAAATTTAAATCAATTTTTCTGCATTAGGAATTTATTTTAGAAATCATTTTGGTATATTTGACATTACAAATCTCTGTTGATTGAAACAACATCTGCTCGACTTTCAAACTTGATTGGTTCTGTGGTATTCATTAAATATTTTGCTGTGATACTGCTCACATCATCCATAGCTTTAAAAATCTGTTTTACTTAACTGGATCATTATAAATTGGCATCATACCCATTGCCACATTCCATATATTCTGGAGGGCTGCTTTTTTAGGACTGTTGCCTTTTTATGCCCAAGATTATAATGGAAATCATAAACTTTCTTGACTCTGCCATAGGATACTTATTAATGGCTTAAAACATTTTTAAGCCTTTACTTCCTCAGATCAGCAGAATATCTGAGTCTTTTGATAAACAAAATGTCTGAAAGCAATTTTGGGACCACGTGTTACTTAACTTGGTGGCTTTTGTGTAATACCTTTATGAAAGGTACGTGCTGGAAGCCGAAGTATATTCTACCTGACACCGTCGGAAACATTTTAAGGGTAAAATACAACATGCAAAGAGGGCATGTTTTGTATCAATTTTGGATTCCCATCAATAAACTGGACAATTTGATGGCTGTTTGCATTTGTAATAGTGTGCATCTCTGAGTTTTTTTTTACCTCAGTCTCCTGCAGGGCTGTGAACAAGACAGTGACTCTATCCTGCCCCCTGTTTAAAAACAAACAAAAACTAACCCAAAACCCCAACAAAACAACACAAGTCTGATTAGAGAAAAAATTCAGGGAGGAGAGAATCAGGGCTGTTAGTGTATTGCATGACTTGACAAAGGTCACAAATGGAGTCTTCCTTTCCTTCCTCTCAATGAATCAAATGGAAGTAATTAATTAAAAGTTGTATTTCTATATTTAAGAAATACATATATTAGTCTTCTGCAACTAGGAACAGATGTATTTCTGTTCCTGTATATTGAACTATGAAAATGCAATGCTGTAAAATGTGACAAATTGTCGTGCAGGAAAATTTCCATCCTATGAAAATTGCCCGAAGCCAGAATAATTGCACACTAATTTGTGACCTTGTTTATTTAGAAAGGGTTGTCACTTTAAATGCAAATTTACATTGTTATATTCTTTGTAATTGCAATAGTTGCAAATAAAATTTGAAAATGTTCTAAATGAGATGGTATCTTTCAAAAGTACTTCTGAAGTGCGTATCGTGCAGGAAAACTCTTGTAAAGCATAAGCAGTGTCAGGTGTTCAAACTCAAGAATGATGCCTGGGTTTAAATTAAGTTGCTTGTACACTTGATGCCTTTTAACTCCAGTTTCTGTTTGCAAATTACAGTAGGGAAATAACAATAAAATAGCATCAGTTGCATTCCACAGGTTTTCAAGCCAAATGCCGCACCAATGAGAGAAATGCTTGAGGAAGAGTCGCTGGATTCCTTATGCAAAATGACTGCTGAGCTTACATTGTTCTGCCGGAACAATTCATAATGAATTGCTGTGGTTGTTAAAAGTTGGGAAGTGATTACAGTTAGAAGATATAATTGATAATAAGAGCGTGGTGGGGGAGGGGTGAGGGAGTGCTCTCACTACTGATCCCTAAATTTTACTATTAAAAGTCAAGGTATATACTTGCAAGATGTGAATGCATTGAAGCGATTAAAAGAAAGGAGAAAAAAAAAAAAAAAAAATCATATCCCTGGTCTGAACACTTGACGTATTTTCTTCTTAAAGACCGAAGTTGACAGCTGGGATTACACTGAAAGTCTGCAAACCGAGGATAATTCTGCTGAGCTAACAAAGACAAAGTCTAATGCTTCTTCAAATGTGGGTCTCTTGTAAAGTCAAGGTAACTTAACAGAAGATGCAAGGAAAAGAATTGCAGTGGTATCGGAAATCTTCATAATGTGAAGAAGGCGTGCTGATACTTTCTCTCCTAAAAATATCAGCTATATGGTTGTGCACCATTTTACAACGCCTTCCAAGACAGATGAAAAATGGGGCTGAGGAGGTATTTAAGAGCTTGCAATTAAAAACACCAACTGCAGCTGCACAACTCTTAGAAATGGTATTAGATTATTGAACTGTTGGTTGTCTATCATGTGGTGTGACCATTATTCATAACTTATGGAGTTGAATTTGAATTGTTATTCAAAGATTTAGTAACTGTCTCTTGAATAAGAGTTACCAGGATGGGTAAAACTTTACAGGAAGAAGGAATATTTTGTGTTCACTGTTGTGTATGTCTTGCTTTTTGATGGGGTTTAGAAATTAATTCAACTGATTTTACACCTAAGTCTTCTGAACCTCTGGGATACTAACTGTGAAGAGTAAAAAAAGTTGTAGAAATAAAATCTGCTTTGCTGATGCTGCAGATTACCTTCAGGGCTTGCAGAAGCCACTTCCAATGGGGAAAAAAAATGGAGTTGGCTGGAAAACATGGGGGGGGTGGGGGGGCTGTGATGCAGCACAACTGGCCCTGCTCCTCCTGGCCCAGCCTGTTAGGAGCTGGCAGTACCGTGATTTAGGACAGATAAACCCTGCTTATTGAAATACGGAATACATTTGAAATAGATATGCGTAGGTATGAGGAATGAGTTGTAAAAGTGGGAGAGATGGGGGGTTTTTTTGGTTGGTGGTTTTTTTTTTTTTTGTGTGTGTGTGTGTAAAATGATTTAGCACTGCTGTCCATCTTTAATTAATATTAAAGAAAACGTCACTTTTTTTCTAGTCTAATGCTGGATGACACTTGTGCAAAAAGCTGATAAACCTCTCTAAATTGCAGACGTCTTGTGGGTGGGGAAAAGCCCTGAGCTGTAGTGGAGGAGAAAGTGCTTTTCCCACCGCCGGGGTGTAGTTCCCGGCCGGGCTCCAGCAGGGGGAGGCAGGGGCACGGATTTCTTCAGGAGAGACTGGGATTCTTCCAGGGGATGCCTAGCGTGTTTTGAGCTGTAGGTTTGGTTTTGTTTCCCCCCTCCCCTTTCCGGAGGAGGAAGGTGTAGATGGAGGTTTCTTTGCCCTATTTCTTTTCTTTTAAACAAACTCTACTGTTACCTGTGCATTCCCCCTGTTTTAACATCGGTTTATCTGTGGGGGTTCCCCCCAAACACCTTGCTGACTGTTCATTTAAAAACCGCTGAAGGAAACCTATTTTCAGATTGGAAGTATTTCAATTATTATTATTTAAAAATAAAAATCTGGCAGAGAAGAAAAATGAGTCCATTTTGAGCCTTAATCATTGCTTTGCACTAGTTTTTGGAAACATATATGTGTAAGGTGGACGTCGTGATGGATCTCCCATTCAGCTGTATTTTAAGCTCTGTGAAGGGAGATGTGTTAGGTGGGTCTACCGTGAGGATGCCCGTGCTTTGAGGAGCTGATCTACAGGGTTCCTGGGCATCCGCGGCATGCCCTGCTCACTCCAGTTTGGCATTCTGTGCAGAGACACTTTTTAAAATGCCCCTGGCACTATCGGCTTTAAAATCTGCGCAGGGCCATGGCACTCTCCCTTCTTGGGGTTTGTCGAAGACTCGGCAGAGCACCCGAGTGCTGGATTAGAAGTTGAGCGTGTGCTTAAACTGATTTCTGCTCGGTAAGGGGAGCGGGGGCTTTGTTGGCTGTGCTATGTTGGGGCCTTGGCAAGCCGGGGAACAAACATAAGAGAGAACTTTGGGTGACTCGTGTTCGGTATTGAACTGTGGACAGCGCACCAAATTTGCACACATAGTACATCTGGGGGTTGCTCGTGGCTTGCACTTCATTTCTTTCACGTCGATGTTTGGTTTTAAGATGCAGTTTGAGCCCACGCAGACTCTGGTTGGTTGGTAGAAATAATTCTGTGCCAAAATTGTTTATATTTGTCATTCAGTTAAATAACAGAACTGTTACCGGCAATGAAACCTATTAATAAATCTAATTAGCACAATAGATTGTAAAGCTAATGATAATATCTTTTAAGCCAAATTGCATAGACTCTACCTAGAATTTAATTTCCAATGTGTGCTGAATCAGGAGGCGTTTTCAAGCTTTCACTGTGTATAAGCCCTCCACGTGTATGCTCTAATAATTAAACAGGGAAGACGTCACAGTTACATTGCTTGTGTGGAATTTAACAGCACAAAGGAGACTGCATGGACCACCTTGTCCAATTCTTTTTAATTCGTTCACCTTTACTTTAAATTAAGGTGCACGTGCTTTCCTTTATGTGCAAGCAACATAGCTAGATGCTTCACGGCACAAAGCTGGAGGCATTCCGGGGAGAAACCCTAGAAAAGCTGGGCATCTTGTGGGTACCTCCTACAGGGTAGTGCCTGAGCTGGGCAAGCTCCAGTGCCGCTGGGGCATTCCCAGTCCCACACCAGGCAGTGAGGATCACCCAGGTGTTGCTTTTGGCATAGCTTGAGCACAGTTATCAGATGCTCCAAAGGCCAGGCTGGTATGAGGCCGCCTTTAACTTAAGGTGGCTGAAAATGAAACGCTTTCCTTGCTGTGAAAAGTTATGCAGGCTTTTAGTCATGGTTTTCCATCACTGGAGTTATTCACGTGTATGCCACAGATACAGCATCTTTTGTAGCCTTTATGCTCCGTACCATTACACCCCATCATCCCAGACTGCTCTCTCCGATGGATGCGCCCCCCCAAACGTATGCAGGGATCAAAATGAGGCCATACTCACCAGTACGCCAGGCTGATGCCTCCTGCGGCGGAGAAACGGGATAGCAGTGACAGCGGGGACTTTGCCTTTGTACCTCCAAGCGTCCCTACTGAGAGGCTTCGATTTGTTTGTGTGGCATTCTCCCATCGAGGAGACCCTTCAGGCGCGGGAGATGTGGAAGGCCATCAGCGTAGTGTTTATTGGGCATTTTATTTTTTCCTTCCTGGCACACAACCCTTTCTCCATGCCCAGATCACAGCTATGGAATTTGTGCTTTCTAATGTATGCGTGTGCAGTAAATTAAACTCAAATTGAATGACCAATTTCCTTACAGCTGAAGCTACATTAATTACTATGTGTAAATCACATTAGCTGAGATTAGGTTATAATGGCTGTAAAATAGACACTGCCCATGACGGGGTGGCGAGATTTGGAGGCCCAGGTGACAATCACTTCAGTCGCTTGAAATGCAAAGGTGAAATGTGATAGTTCTTGTTTCATTTTGCACGGGGCATTTGGTCTGTCCGAGCTGCCCAGCTCTGCAGGTCCCTCCAAACCAGTTCACGTGCAGGAGAACCTGTTGCTCTCTTGGTCCCGTGTACAGCACACGGGTGGCAGCTTCCCATCGCAAGACAATTTGAGCAACCTCGTTTATGTCGTTAGCTTCTCTTAAACATCATGTGGCAGAAGGCGCTGCCGCCTACAGGTACTTCTTCCTAAAGCTATGAGGATTTACTCTTTGCACTTAACTTCCTCACATAAGGTTTTATCTTGGTTGTATCTTTTTATGGTTCCCGCCTGATGTAGATTTGTTAGGTGTATTTGATTCCTTTCTTCTTTTTTTTTTTTCCTCCTTCATTGCAATCGGGGCTGAAGAGTTCATGCAGATGTTGAAAAGCTGCCCCGTTATATTTTACATTCACATTTAATATATAGTATGTATGCTAAAAGTTACCGG